ATACAGAGTTAACAGTTTTGGCAAGAGCGCTTCGTCCACCATCGACTGTACCGGAAAATACTGTGGTTGCGAGAGCCTTCGCATTGCCGCCACACGCAGTTGGAGAGGTCATGTCAATCTTCGACGAAGAAGGTCTCCCTATGAAAGAGCATGTTGAAGTACATACAACATGGGTGAAGCACATAGGTCGAGACCGACCCACGCTCACGTGCCAATTGACATGTGGGGACAGGACAATATCGATCAGAGGTATGCTCGACACAGGGGCGGATGTAACGGTAATATCGTACATCTTTTGGCCACGCAATTGGAGCTTGGTCGCACCATTGGGCTCTCTCTCAGGCATCGGGGAAGCATCTCTGTGTCTGCAAAGTGAGAACTCCGTCGTTGTCACGGGACCAGGAGATAAGACGGCGATCATTCGTCCTTTTGTCGTCCAAAAGCCGATCACAGTCTGGGGTCGGGACCTTTTGGCACAATGGGGCGCGAAGATTGAAATGGATTTTTAATAGGGGTCACTGCAGCACTTGCCACACTGAAGCTGACATGGAAAACAGATGATCCAGTTTGGGTGGATCAGTGGCCCCTTGAGTGGAAAAAATTGAGTGCTTTGAAAGACCTGGTCCAAGAACAATTGCAGAAGGGACACATCAAGCCAACAGACAGCCCTTGGAATTCTCCGGTGTTTGTCATCAAGAAAAAGCTATCGGGCAAATGGAGGTTGTTACACAATCTCAGGAAGATCAACGAAGTCATAGAAGACATGGGGCCACTTCAGTTGGGACTTCCATCTGTCTCAATGATTCCCAGAGATTGGCAGCTTGTGGTCATTGACCTCAAGGATTGTTTCTTCAGTATCCCACTCCATCCAGATGATGCTCCGAGATTTGCCTTTTCAGTTCCGAGTATCAACAGGGAAACGCCTCTGCAGCGGTACCATTGGGTCGTCCTTCCACAAGGCCTAAAGAATTCTCCGACGATCTGTCAATGGTACGTGGCACGAGCTTTGGCACCAGCACGGAAGAAATTTCCGAAGGCGAAGATCATTCATTACATGGATGATTTGCTCATTGCAGCATCAACACGACAGGAGTTGCAAGAAGCTCGCGACTGTGTGATCGCAGAGGTGCAAAAGGCAGGTCTGGAAATCAGCATTTCAAAGATTCAAGAGGTTGCACCTTGGAAATATCTAGGGTGGAAAATTTCAGAGAAAACAATAAAGCCTCAAAAAGTGGAGATCAGCACAAAGGTCAACAATTTGCATGATTTGCAACAGCTTTTGGGAGAAATCAACTGGATGAGACCAGTTTTGGGAATCACAAACAGCGACATTCCAGTGCTGCTTGATCTCTTGAGAGGAGACACAGACATTCGTTCTCCCAGGACACTCACGCCAGAAGCGAGAAAAGAGTTGGAGAAAATCACGAACGCAATACAGAAAAGGCAGGCACATCGATTTGTTCCAACGTTGCCTTTTCAGTTGGCAGTGCTGGGGAAGAAAACACAGTTCCATGGTTTGATCTTCCAATGGGATGAATCACAAAAGGACTCTTTGATAATCATAGAGTGGATTTTCCTACCACACAGGCCCGCGAAAACGATTCTCACAGATTTGGAGATGGCAGCACAAATCATCATAAAGGCGAGAACAAGGCTGCTGACAATGGCAGGAAGAGAATTCTCAGTCATCAGATTACCTCTGAAACGAGACTATTTCGATTGGGCAATGCAACAATCGAAAGACCTGTTAATCGCGTCGTTAGCATTCCCAGGAACTTGCACAATCCACTTTCCACAACACAGAATACTGCAATCGCAAATATGCTATAGAGCAAAACCACGAATAAGTGAAGAACCTTTGGACGGGATCACAGTGTTCACGGATGGCTTAGGGAAGACACACAAGTCAGTGATCACGTGGAGAGACTCAACGACAGGGGATTGGGAATCAGACGTGAGGATGGTTCAGGGCTCTCCACAAATTGTGGAGTTGGCAGCCGTTGTCCGGGCATTTCAGTTGTTCAAACAGCCTCTCAATCTGGTGACAGATTCTGCATATGTTGTGGGTGTGGTCAAGAGATTGGAGGGTTCGCTCTTGAAGGAAGTCAGTAATGAGGTTTTATACTCATATCTGACAAGTTTGAAAACACTGCTAGAGAGCAGGGAAAGAGAGTATTTTATCACACACATTAGAGCGCACACAACACTTCCGGGGTTTTTAGCGGAAGGGAATGCTCGGGCGGACAGGTTGACAATGCCCATTTTGCAAACACTGTCGGACATTTTTGAGCAGGCAAGATTAAGTCATGCGTTCTTTCATCAGAATGCGCAAGCGCTAATGGAGTCCTTTCGTCTCACAAAGAGTCAGGCGAAGGAGATCATTAGTGCTTGTCCAGACTGTCAGCTTGTGCAGCCACCTTCTTCTACCGGGGCCATCAATCCGCGGGGGCTGCAAAGTCTTCAGTTGTGGCAAGCTGATGTCACGAAATATCCGTCTTTTGGGAGGCTCAAAAATGTTCATGTTTCTGTAGATACATTCTCAGGTGCGGTCTTTGCTTCAGCACATGCTGGGGAAACAGCAGACCATGCTTGCCGACATTTTCTGCAGGCATTTGCAGCATTAGGTGTGCCTCAGGAGATAAAAACAGACAATGGTCCAACATACACAGGCAGGGTGCTTGACAGATTCCTGAAAAGATGGGGTGTCAGACACACGTTTGGTATTCCACATTCACCCACAGGTCAGGCGATCATTGAGAGAACACACCACACCCTGAAATCCCTTCTGGACAGACAGAGAAGGGGTGAGCCAGAGGCAACACCTCACATGAAATTAAATAAGGCACTGTACGTGCTGAATTTCCTAAATAGCTCGTCCTCGAAACCTAATCCACCGATCGTGAGACATTTTCTAAACAACACACAGGCAAAGCTAAAGGAAAATCCTTTAGTTTTGATCAGAAACCCAGAGACAGGACAAATAGAGGGTCCTTTCAAACTAATCACTTGGGGCAAGGGTTTCGCTTGTATTTCCACAGATCGAGGTCTGAAGTGGGTGTCGGCGCGGCACGTGAAGCCATTCCGAACACGAGAACACGAGAACGCTGATCCAAGAAACAAAGAGACGAGTACTCAGACAGAAGTCAAGACTCAGACTGCGAAAAACGATCCGGAAGAGAAATAAAGAGAAACTAAGGACTTTGGGGGTTTCCACATAAAAGCGAAAGAGATCCTTTTGGTGCAAACAGAAGGGGGAGATGTGGGATCTGAGCCTCTCAGAACTGGGGTGCAGGGTGACCAAGACCACCCCTGGGGGGCTCGGGAGTCCTGGAATGTTGCCAGAAATGTCTGGTGGCTGGACTTTGATCCTACACTGGAGACGACATCAGTATGAGGATAGGAGGATTTCACCGGGGTGAACGGTGAAGGGATAAGTTAATTGGAGTGTGAGATACAGGGTTTAAGATTTCTGTACAGGGGGGTCTAGAGAAGTAAGATGGAGGAATTGGGGCATGCCCTTCTCCTTCTTCTTCTTCTTCTTGGCCTCCATCTTCTGTGGTGATGTTGGCACTTTGGGATTGGACCTTACTAAAAGTGTACTGGTTAATAAGGGTGAAAGGTATTGGAGAAAAATGATAAATATTGTATACGTAACTCCGAGTATAAAGATAAGTGGCCGCCCCAGGGGCTCGCAGTGTGTGCCCATAGCTGACTGCTTAGCAAAACTCTGTCAGGCCAAGAGAAAATCTTTTAGATAAGCATTTAATAAACACCGAGACCGAGAAAAGATCTAAAGTCCCTTCTCGTCCTTTGGAGCGCGGGCGGCCCAAGGCCACCTTGGGCCTTTCCAGACCATCTAAACAGCCGAAAATCCAACACTAGCCCAGCCTGCACAGTCCACCTCATGCCCACAGGGAGCACTACCAACTCAACTAGGCAGCCACAGGAGCTCCATGGCCTTTCTGCAGCTCCTTTCTAACCCACCTTTCTGCAGACTGCACTGAGAGTTAACTGCACTACAGGTGCCCAACTTTGTACCTCTCTTGAACTTCTGAGGCTCAAGTCACCCTATTCCCTCAAGCTGCTAAGATTGCTCTGAAAGACAGCCCTGCATTCACCTGATAACAACAGCTGGGCCTGGCTAAGGCTGTGTCCCATGCCATCATCTGTGTGACCCATGAACATATTATAATGTCTCAGATACAGTATCAAACCATGAGGACCAGCATCTGTAAATAGGTGCCAGTTAAATCTCAACCAGCTGACGTTTTAAATCTCACCAAACCAGCTGGTTTTTTACTTACCTTTTAGCCCACAAATCCAGTCTGCTCCCTCATTAAGGATATTTTCCTCCCCATACTTACCACACTTCTTCCAATTTCTCCTACAAATACAGAAGTCTACACTGAAAGCAAGATAAAGGACAGTAACTGCTGTTACTGTTAGGTTCAATTTACCTAGCCCTTGTATTATTTCAGTCCACAGGAGTGCAAAGTACAAAAAGGGAGATATAATCTTATATTAAGTTATCAAGACCCATTTATTGCACATAAATCTTAGGATTAAAAAATTGGCCAACAAAGCACCATGTTGCTCTAACAGAACAAAGTGCTGTCAGCTTTAACAAAAATCAGATAAATCTGCGCCTGTTGTGGTCCAGGACTGGAGGAATACTGCTCTACCAGTATAAAGAGACTGCAATTCAGGTGAACTTATTTGGTAGGATGTAACAGTGGGGAGTCTGATTCTCTAAGGCTCTGTAAGAGCTCTCAGAGCAGTTCTGAAGCTGATGAAAAGGTAACTGACATTTGACATATTAACACAGAAAGGGAGATTTGCTGAAGCTGCCATAAAAGAAGCAGTATTGTTGAGCTTACAGTCATCCCCACAGAATTATGCTGTACACTTGAAAGAAATTGAGGGAAGAGAAACAACACACAATCTGTAATCCTTAAAAAAAAAAAAAAAGCAAAACCATTTATTTAAAACTTGATCACTACCTGGTCCAGTGGAACTTCCACAAGAGTATCTTCATCTTCTTGCACTTCAACTGCCCCCCACATTTCAGACCCCTCTTCTCTGGCTTTGTAAATATCTTCACCTACAATGGGAAAGATAAAGTGGGAGGAAGTGAAGTCCAATAGTGACACAGTGTGGCTCAACTGCTGAACTGCACATTCAATTTTGCTCCTGAGAACAGCTTTCTGAGCTGACCCATCATTCCCCATACAGTTCTTTCAAGTCTTCAGTCTCCCATTACTGTCAATTGGTTTTTCTTTCCTTTTAACAACAAATACATATATACCACACCACTTGGGGAAGGGAGGAGAAAAGCCAAAGGGAAAGGGAGCTGAACAAAGTCCTGGATCTGAAGTTCCTTCTCTCTGGGCAAAGGTCAAGAGTGAATCTGAACTAGGTACATTACAACAACAACGTAATACTTCTGTTTCTACATCCAATTATAGTATCCTTTAATAATAAGCATTACAAAATACATCTATCAAAAATTTCAGTCCCTGAATCAAAAACAAACATGCTGAATCAGGTTAGAGTTAAAAAATTAAGAGAAACAGTTGGATTAGCTCTACTCCTCAACTCTGGGCACATGCATGTAGAGCTATGGCTGAGACTCCACATCCACATTAAAAGGCATGTACTCCTGGAAAATAAGGATTAACAGTTACATTTTGCAGAGGTTTTACACCATTTAGTTTAAGTAATTTCTTTTCCCTGAGTATAAGAAGCAACTAGGGGTCTTTGAAGTTTCCAGCACAAGTCTTATGATATCAGCTAATTCGGAAAGTGAATATAGGTACATACAGAAAACAATTTCCAAGTGATGCACGATCCTCTGTATTTTCCCCTGAACTGAAAACAGCCCAGAAACTAAAGGCACAAGTTATTCCAAATCATCTCTCTCCATTGATCTAGGAAAGATGAAGATGTGTCCATATCCAACATAATATGTAACCACAGTAAGAAAGACAAAAAAGTATTTCCACTGTTTCTGACTGCCTCCTAGTTCTTCCTTGCTAATGTCAACTGACCATGCAAACTGATCTGCATTGCTGCATGCTGCTAAATAAACAGCTTTAGTGTAGCACAGAGCCACTTTGGTGGAAAAGTAATTAATAAAATCCCAAGACCGAGAGAAATCCAGAGTCCATCCATGTAAAAAGTCAGCACTGACTAGTCCAGTAGTTTTTCAGTTACTTTTTCATCACTATGAGAGCCAAGGGAAGAGTTTGCCCTGGGAACAAGTTCTGAGGCACCATACTGCTGCAAATGGCTGACTGGATGGGAGTGCCAGATGGTCTTGGAAAGTGGCCTGACAGCCACTGCCCAGAGGACCAGAAGTGAAGGCCATTCTCCCAGAAATGAAGAGGCAGAAATAGGGGATTCTATGGCACATCACAATGAAATTCCAAAGTGATACTGTTGGATGCATCTTAGGAGAAAGTTTTCCTGATGGACAGAGCACCTTGAATACCCAGGCATCAGTCCTGCTGGAACCCCCGCACCCTACCAAAAGGTCCATACTACTACGTCCTCTGAAGGTATCCCTGTTGGAAATACCAGAGGGGTCTTAGCATCATTGCTTGGACTCCTATCCTAAATAACTCACACATATTTTTCAAGACCTCATTTTTGTAATTCACATGAAAACAATCATTTTCTTTTTTAGCTTCCTTTTTCTTGGGATTTACTAAACACAATGCATGTGCATGGATGTTCCATTGAAACCAACAAAGGACATTCAATACTTGATAGCAGTATGATAAATCTTGGACAACATACCTGTACATATCCCATTACAAATCCCCTTTGACACAAGACTTGTTTGGGTTTTCTGACAAAATCAGCAATAAAAACATGGAGTGGCTGAGGATAACAAAAAAATGCATCTGAACAGATGCTACTTGTACTTTTTCAAAGAATCAATGCACTTCACATTTCCCATTTTTCTGAGCTCTCTACGAGACAGAATGTTCTGTTTCTCTTACCTGGTATTATCATTGCTGCCTCTCATCACAGGCACTTGAGTTATAGATTTCCACCATATTCTGAGAGGAAAACGTGATGTGTTCCCTAAAAGCCACTATGAAGACTCTCCTATTTCAAGGCTTTCCCTTAAGTATGTAAGAAAATAGCCTTGCCCTAGATTCCTTGGCTCACTGAACTACAGAAAGTCAACTCAGTGTCTGAAAGAACTGTATTTAATATCACTATCCTTCCATTTAGGCTCTGTAATAACACCTTTGCCTTCAAGGTTCCCAAGTCTTTCAACCAAAATGGGGACTGTCTGGCCTCTAGAGGTAAAAAGGATTTGGGTGCAGGGGCAATTTTTATCAGGTTTTTACTCCAGGGCAAAAGGAGGAGTACAAGGGAGATGAGCATGTGTTAGCCCTGGAGGCCAAATCCCCTCAAGAGCTGAGGATGCTCAATTTTAAAGCACCTCTTCTTAGAAGAGCAGATCAGGCTCAGGGCTATGCTGAATAACCCAAGGGACACACTTACACAGTATTTTGAAAAAACTTACTCATGTAACCAGGAGGGAGCAGGAGAGAGGAAAGAACACTTTAAGTTTCAGTAAGGAATCATATTTCTCATTTAAAAGAGAGTGCCCAAAAAGGTAGTAACAGCAGGATTTCAATAAGCAAAATCTAAAATCTCCATGGAATTTCCTCCAAGCGCTTTCTAGCCGGTGTTTGCTCAGAAAGCTGGTCAGAAATGAAAACATATTAGTTGAAAAGAACTCTGCATAACACTGCAGCATCTCTCGGGGATACCACTGTTCATTGTCTTGCACAGAAAGCATTCTCAAGAGAAACAGCACTCCTGTTCTTCCACAGACTGAAAATATTATTTAAGGAAAATAGAACATTTACAACAAAAGTGAAATTAATTATTTACCTCTGCACAAACATAAGAGAATGGAAGACACATATCCAAAATAAATGTACGGTCAGGGAAAGAATTAAAATACTTAGGTCTGAAATGTGCCAAAACAGATGAAGAAAAAAATTACACTAACTGAAAAATGGGGAAGTTGTAATACTTGAACCGAAAATTCCAAAGGAAATGGCAATGAATGCAATTAGTCTTACATTAGGACACACAAAGTTGTCTTTTGTTATAAAAAGTGAAAGACAAAAATTGCAAAATAATTTACATAAAATAAATTTGAATAAATAGTAAATTATAAAAATAACTTAAAATGTTAACATTATTAGCATTGCTACTCTACAACCAGAAGTATTTACACTTTCTGCATGTGAAGTTACAAATATCTGGAGGATGGAAGATTAGTGAAAGGCCAACACATTTCTTGTTTGTTTGATTCTGTTTCAAGATCTTGTCAACAGGAGTTTGCAGGCCACATTAATTACAATTATCGGTGCTCTGAGTTACTTCCAAGGAAATGTTTTCAGTTGGGTAACTTTGCCTCATATTTTATAGATAATTCTTTTTGGTTTAGGAAAAAAAACTATGAAAAATCTTATTGATGCAATATTTCACATCTCTGTGTCTGAATCATTAGTCAGTTTCTTCACATGTCTCTAAGGAAGAAAAGACAAGAAAGTATTTTAGAAAATGCCATAAATTACATGAAGAACCATTTCTGCAAGTCTTCATCCTCTATTGTTTTGGGCTTCTATTGCAATCTCTATTGAAGCAGAAATATGTGGTGTACCCTGCCAAAAAAAATTCCAGGACTTCCATTAAATGGGACATTTATGACTACTCCAAACAGTTCCTAAAAATTGTAGATTAAACATGCTCCTCTTTTATGAGTCAGCTCTGATTTTCTTGTGCCTCAAACTACCTGAGAACTGACCACAGACAGGGCCATGGCAACACTGAGGCAGAAGAGCTCTGAAAGGGGGTAAGAAAGGAAGGTGTGTCTCCCCATGGCATTGCTGGTAAGTATAAACAGAGGATTTATTTCAGTTAGGTCCTCGCTTCTCCATGCCACAGCACGTGCAGCTTCTGTCAAGAGGCCAAGCAAAATATTACTGAAAGTTTCATGATCTTTTGTGGGGATATTTTTCCATGGTGTCCAGACAAAAAGAAGACACTGGAGTTTTTTAAGTTGTGCCAATCACTGAGTGACAATAGACTACCTTGAGCCAAAAATCAGAACTATTTTTTATACCCTAAACAGAGAGAGCTAGGGAACCAAACATCTCCTGTTATTTCTGATTATCTTTAAAGCAGGGTCATATTCAGCAATTGAGGTAAAAAGGGGGAAGAAGAACCTGCAGAAAGGCAGAAAACAGATAATTCAAAAGGAGCAGCCAGGTGGAGAGAGAATATGCAGAGGCTGGAGGATAGAGACACTGATGGAGATGATGAAGGCACAGTGATGTTAGAAAAAATATGTGGAATGAGGAACTGTATAAGAGCAAATAGAAAGACGAGGAAATACTGGTGAGAAAAAGGGAAGCAACAGGGTCCAATGCACTGACTGGAAGGCAGAAAAATGCCTTTTAGGGAGTAGAAGAGTAGAAGCTTGAAAGAATGAGAGGGGGGGAATAAACCAAGTCAGCAGGTATCCCAGCCAATTTAAGCTTCCTAAAAGAATCTTCCTTCAGGAAAGTCTGCAAAGAGGAATGCTGTTGGACTACTAGCTGGTACTGAATGTCTGTATTCCGATGTTACCACACACACAGAAGTGCAGCAAAAAAAAAACCAGCAATGAAAAAAGGCTCCTTGTTTTCAGGCAGATATTTTTACTGATTTTTTGTTCATATTTATTTCTTCAACAAGCAATACTTATTAAGACTCTGGAGAGTGGAAAGAGTTCTTACAGGATTTTTTGGTTTCACGCTGAAGAGATGAACAAAAACTGCAACGATAAGTGCTTTCCTACAGAGTATCTGCAAGAGTTGTGCTCTCTCCTGCCTCTTCTCCAGCTCCATAATCCCACAGAGAGAAAGAATGATGAAATCTCAGGAGGATCCAGATGGTTTAAAGCTCTGAATTCCTTGAAGTTTTGTCAGTGTTACCAGGAAAAAGGAACATTTGGAGCTTGGTAACAGCCCTGCCAAGGAAAGGTAACTACTGCCTCAAAACAGCCGTGGACCAACTCAACCTGCC